TTGTAAACCTTCAACTTCACTCACAATATACCGCTGCACTATTCTCTCCACTCCTGCCACATCACGTTTCACCGACATACTTCGGCATCTTCCGCATCAGATAAAGTATACAGATTCTATATACTTTAGTACGCGGTCAGCTGCTTCACCAGGACCCCGGTGTTTTCAACGTCTGAGATAGCGGTCTTTAAGCAGCCTCTCGCACAAATGTGTCCGGTCGTACTTCGCGAATAGAGACTCCGTACATCTCGTCCCAAAAGTCAGGAGCGAATTTTGCCGCGCAGATGCGCGCGTGCGATTCGCAAAATGCGCCTGTACAAATGTATATAAAATTTCTTGGCGGATGAGGACCAGGTGCGCCAGCGCGTTGCGCAGGTGGGCATGTTGGCCATAGCCGCACGCTGGACTATTGCGTGGATGCTTTGCAGTAACTAAAAGCACCGAAAGCCAACGTCGTAGCTTGCAACTCTGGGCTCTTGAAACTGCCGCGGAAGATGAAGCGCTGGCGAAGAGGCAGTTGTATGCAGCACCTTGTTCAGAGTAAAGTGAAATTACAAAGTTGCGCAAAGTATAACATACATAAACTTAATTAAACATAAGAACAGATAAGACGTTTAGAGCCTTGTCGGTGACAAGGACGCCGCTGTTGGCTTGGAACAGCTATTTGCTGTGCATAGGGACCAGAGGTCGGCAAATCGGTTTCTACGGCTGCGGGAGGGCATAATTTCGGTCAATAAACCTAAAAAAAAAATTGGCGCCTTCCGGCGCCAAAAGAGACAGCATTTCAGGGCTCCACGTTCTGTACACATTGCAGGCCGATCGTTTTACAGGGGGGGACAAGGGGTCGTTGCCAAGCAAGTTCTTGCGCCATGAAGTTAGTGTCGCCCCCCGTGCTATCCATCCTCACAAAGCCGACCGCATGCTGTTGAAGCGCGGGTTGTGAAGGATATTCTCGACCTTATCGGTGATGTGCGTGTTAGGTGCATCCTAGTGGAGGACTTGTACTTGGCCATTGCCCCCTTCAACATTGCATCCTCCTTCTTCAAGGACCCCGACATACTCAGCTTCACAAAAAGACCCTCGTTGAGCTTAAGCCGGTGATGTTTGGTACTTTAAGCTAGTCCATGTATTCACAGATCGTCGGGAAGTGAGTGAAAGGCATGGCTTGGTACAGGACCATGTATGCGCCACAAAACAGAGCCAACAAGGGATTGTCGGCAACCTCGGTCATGGCCAGGTGCTTGTCAGTTTGCTGTTGCTGCTGATCCTGTGTGTACTGGTCTACAGCCGCTTTGTGGGAGTGGGAGGCCTCGTGCCGGGTGTAAGCTGAGCGATCCCAGTTCGTGCGGAAAATGGTGGCGTTACTCTCCTTATGCGTGTCGCAAAAAAAGCAGATGACCGTCGTCGAGCCCTGAAGTGCATAGGCCCAGCTCTTGAAATCACCACCACAAGCGTCAGTCAGCCAAACAATGTCCTCGTTGGGAATATGAGGCCGCTCAAACCCCGGGGGGACACCAACGGCATCGATCTTATTGGTGGACTTGGTGCGCTTCCGTTGCGGGTTGGCGGTGGCATTGGGGGTGGCGGGGGACAGGAGTGTTGCCGGCTGCTGTTCGGGAGCGGTGGTGTTGGGGGTGGCGGGCAGGAGAGGTGCTGGCTGCTGAGTGGGGACGGTGGCGGCGGTGTTGGCTTGAGTGTGCCTTTTCTTCTGTGGAGGAAGGGCCACGGTGCTGGCGTTTCTGGAAGTGGGAGTTGGTGGTGCTGGGAAAAGTAGACCTGGAGCTTCACCGGCGCTGCCCGATGGCCCAAGTATCGGCTCTTCCGCCTCAATTTATGTTGCTGGGGGCTCAGCAGTGGCTTTACGACCGGTCAGCATGCCGGCCAACGTGCGTTGTCGACCGCTGGAGATTTCTGCACGCGTTTCCTTCGTTCCCCGGCGAGATGCTGCCGACATGCCGAGGTCAGCAGTTAAAAGTATGCTGGAAATACAAACAATATGATGAAGATTATGTATAGGATAGGCCACATGGGACCAATATCTGGTATGCCAAAGTCCACAATTGACCAAGTCAAGTGCTGCGGCAGCTGCAAATCATCAGTACAGACGCTAGAAATGTAATAGTTTATCAGTGATAACCTTCAACGAGTTGTGTAGAGGTGGTCGTGACATTCTTTTACAAAGTCAAACACAGAGTTCGAGTCCAGCGCGCGGCCCTACGGGCCGCAATAGAGGCTTCAATCACGTCTTTTGGTCGAATTTTGGTCATTTGGGTCCCGTAGCGGGGGCCTTAAGCCGATTTTTGGCTGCGGGTACTGTGGTACGGACCCGCAGGACCCACCGGATTTGCCGACCTCTGATAGGGACGTGCCCGCGTTAGCCGTGTTGCAACAGCTCAGGATGGATTTCAGCCAGCAACAGCCTCAAGAGCTGCTGCACAACAGGATGTTTGTTTGCATATCCCTCCAAGCGAGAGGGCTTGGACCTATGCTGATGTTCGTTCCAAGAAGTGAACTGAGGACTGATGCTACGGTGAAAGATTTGCACGTAAATTCGCCCGTGCAATAAATAAAAACGCCCTGTAACTCGCTTACGCTAATCTCACATTCCAATATGCCACTGCACTTTCCTCTCCAGCCTGGCCACATTCTCTTCCTCGCAAACGTACTTGGGCAACTTACAATCCAACACCATACGGGCTTTGGAAACGCGGGCAGCTGCTTCACAAGGACCCCCCTATTTAAGCAGCCCCTCGCAGAAATGTGTCCGGTCGTACTGTGCCGAATAAAGACTCCGTACAAGACGCCCCAAAAGCCAGGCGCGAATTTTACCGCGCGGATGCGCGCGTGCGATTCTCAAAATGGGCGTGTACAAGTGTATGTCAATTTTAGGGCAAAAGGCCGCGGTGTGCCAGGGCGTTGCGCAGTAGGGCATGTTGGCCACAGTCGCACGCGGCATACAGGCTGGGCGTTTGGGTGGCTTCTTTGCAGGAACTGAAAGCACCGAAAGCATACGTCATAGCTTGCAAGACTGGGCTCATGAAACGGCCGCGGGAAGAGGAAGCGTCTGGCGAAGCGGCACTTTTGTGCAAGCAAAAAGACGCCTGCTTTCTGTAGCGCAGCGCATACAGCACCTTGTTCCGACTAAAGTCAAGCTACACACTTACGAAAAAAATTATAACAAACACAGAATTAGGTATATAGATAAAAATCAGGAAAGTCGTTCAGAGACGTGTAAGTAACATGGACGCCGCTGATGGCTTGGAACAGCTTTTCGCAGAGCATACGGCCGTGCCTGCGTTAGCCGTGTTGCAGCAGCTACGGAAGGACTTGAGCCAGCAGCAAGCTCAAAAGCTGCTGAAGAACCACCGGGATTGTCTTCAGTTGGGAACATGTAGTTTTGGTCGGCGCGGTCGAGCATCATACGCATTGCGGACGCAAGCCGAGGTGCAGCGTCTCTTTAACATCGCCAACATATCCGGTACGCGGTGGCAGGCTTGCCAAGCACGACATGAAAGGGGGGTCGCATCACAATATTCAACCACGCATGCATGTGCGCCAGCAGATGAAGACGCGGCGCACTTCTGGGCGACGGGTGTCGGTCTACGTTTACGTGGTAAGGCGTTAACCAAGGAGTGGCATAGGTATAGTTATGGCCGCGGTAGTGGCGTACGACCTGTCCGGTAGTACGCACCCACATCAGTCTGCCTATATTCCGCGACTATCCAATCCTACATGACGCCAATTCCTATCCTGGTGGCTGCGAAGGTGTGCTGATGAGGTGCATTACAACTGCCAGCCGTGCCCAGATACAGTTACAACATCCGCGTAAGAGTCTGCTGCATATGACTTCATCCGACAGGTCCGCATGGTGCCGCAGCCGTCCGTGTGGCACATCCACATGATGGCTGCGTGTGCGGCGACGGTACAGCCGACACGACATCCTTGCTGAACGATTCACAAGCAAACCGCGATCATGCAGAACATGGAGATCCGTCCTGCGGCACCGGTAAGTGCCTGCCAATGTGGGCATGTGATTGGCGTCTTGGGCTTCTCTGCAGTTGCTGGGCTGTTCTGAAGGCACTGCGGACACCTTCATCCAAGTCAACGGCATCATGTTGGTAAGGGGGCACCACTGCTGATGTGCTGCTATGCAGGTCAACTCCCGGTGCCACTATATGCATGCAGCGACATTAGCAGCTGTGCTGTCGTGCCGCTCGATGCCCATGCAACGTGTGTAGACTGCGTGCGTCATGCTCTCATTGCTGCGGGTGCCACTGATGTGCCCGCGCCTGACATTCTGCTGGCGACCGTTGTGGGAGCCATTGCCGAGTCTTGGGACGCGATGCGCTTCCAAGTGCTATATGCCCATGCTACATGCCCATGCCCATGCCAGGATCCTCACCGGCGCTTCCAAGCTCATGCCTGCAACCCACCCACCCGGATGAAGGACAACGCCCGCCGCTACCAACCCTTCCGAGACCACTTCACCCTGACGCGCCTCATGTCCACCGCCAATCCTGCACTCGCCGACAAGATGGAGGCCCTGTACATCACGCAGTTCAAGAGCCGGGGGCCGGGCGACTACAATGTGCTGCACGGGCCGCCTTCCGCCAGCCCGGCCTTCCGCCCACACGCCGCCCGCAGCGACACTCCAACAAGACGACGCCCGAGCCACGCTTGCCAAGTCGACACAGCAACTGGGCACCTGACGGATGGTGTCCGACGATTTCCGCGCTAGCCTTCTGGACATTGAGCAGTGGCGGTTGTATTTAGGCACGATCACACTTCACGTTGCATACATGTCCGACAATGACTCGTGTGTGAACTGCGGCTGGTGCCCATACGGACACCAGCGCTTGGGATGGTCTATTGCGTTAGTGTTGGGGGGGAGGGGCGCTGCTCCTTTCTAGGTCGGCTCGTCGCGTGCTCGGGTGCATGCTTGGTCACGTGCGAGTTCACCCATCATGTTGCCTGTTCTGGCATGTCCGTCCAAGCGTGAAGAATTGTACCTATGCCTTCTTCTTCCTTACTAAAAGATTGCACAGGACCGACGCGACGTGTACTGTAAACGCCTTCTTGTTCTTGCTGTTGTTCTTGTATACGCGCAAGACGACAAGACTGCATGTACATTCCGCCGTGCGCCAAACACCCTGTAACTCGCTTACACTAAACTCACATTACAGTGAGCCACTGCACTTTCCTATCCAGTCCAGCCCCGTTCTGTTCCTCGCAAACGTATTTCGGCACCTTCCACTTCACCATACGTGCTTTGGAAACGCGGGCAGCTGCTTCACAAGGACCCCAGTGTTTAACGCCTCCCGATCAACACTGCAGCCCCTCACTAAACGTGATGCAAGGTACGAGCGCGAATAAATACTCCGTACAACTCCAATATGCGAAGGAAACGCCAGGAATTCGGGCTTTACGCATAGGTGCTTAAAATTCGCGGGCATGCGAAATTTGATCGGGAGCTGAAGCGGCTTGATTTATCATGCCCAAAATGCGAAGCCCTCGGCGGGCCGCGCAAGAGCCTGACCTTCAAGAGCCAGGAGCGCTGGTGGGATAAGCATTATGCGTGTGGAAAATTCGAGGCCGCGGGGATGCGTTGACGAACGCCAAATTGGCTGCTGTGCGGACCGGCCAGCGGGTTGCCCCCGCTACTGCGAAACGCCACAGCGTGAAGTCGAGCGGGCGCGTCCGCAGGTCATTTGGCATACAGTCTGTATGATACAGAACAATTGAACTGCTTAATTGCTGCTTAAATAATGCGAAAACAAAGAAAGAAGAAAGATAATAAGAAAAGGTATGCACCAATATTATACAAAAAGGTATATAATATAATACTATATTAAAAAGGTATATAATATTATATTATTAAAAAAGGTATGCACCAATATAATATTGGTGCTATCTTTTATAATGAAGGATAGCTCGCGGCGACACGGGAAGAAAGCGGCAATGTTAAAAAAGGAAACTTTCAATGGAGAATAGAATATTCGCTTGCTTGGCTTGCTGAGAGCAGCCTTCATAAGCAGCGGGCATAGGCAACGTGCACTGCATTGCCGGCAAGGGTGGTGCAGGAGCGCTGAAAGGTCGCGCGGTTCCTTGTATAATCACCAAGCGCCATTAACCCTGGGCACATGCAGCTTCGGTCGGCGCGGCAGGCTGATGATAGCAGTGCACTGTTATCAAGACGCACAACGGTTGCTGCATGTTGCTGACGCGTCAGGTGTGTTTCGCAGCGCCCTCGTGCAGCGTGTGTTGCACGCCTGAAAGGAAAAACTGGTATCAAAGATTTGCATTCACCACAGCCGCCCGCTTGTTTTGGTGCCTAAAGACCTGCCTAAATCCCTACAACCCTACAGTGCACCGCGGTTCTACAAACTTCGTGTCGTCCACAGTGCCGAGGCGCCATACATTTTCCCCTCATCAACGTGTGTGTAAACATTTGTGATGTGCGTCCGGCTGCCTGAACAAGCTGTCCATATCCCCACTGCTGGCTTCCACCCACCCACATAACGCTTCCACATATGCACACACGCCGTTGCCGCCTTTCCTTCAGACTGCGGTGTGCACACTACCATTCTCCGTGGTGCACGTTATGCACGGCAAGCCACTTTCGCCACTGTACGGCCGGTCACCCTATGGTGACCTCGTAGGCCTACGAAGCCGCAATGACCGCGGCCAGCTGCTTCATCCAGAAACCCATAATGCGGTTTGTCATATTTGGGCGGAATTGTGCTTGGCGTGTCGTTAAGTAATCTGGGTTAGTTCGGCGTAAGGCCCAGAACTCGTTGATGGACGGTAAAAGCGTGTCTCGGCGGTTAGGAGGCCAAATAACGAGGAGGCGAAATAACCGACTGGCTGCACGCTCGCGCTCTGTAGTCCAGCTGACCTAAGGCACCGAAACGCATAGCAGCATAGCACCATATGGTGCACTACCGTCCGGGCAGGCAGAGACCCAAGACAGAAACAGGGCTCCAGCAATGCAGTCGGACAGCGACCTACACAGGAAGCAGTATTGGTGTCAAAACAATGTACAAGTCATCAGGAACACTACTTACAAGATATGTCACCATCGCCGCCCGGATAGCCCTCAGCGAAGAACTCATGGGCAAAAAAGCTGCAATCAGCATGGTCGCTGCGTTACACTGGATGCCGTACATTGTAGTACAATGCAGTACTAAGGTTGTTACGCAACCCGAAGGTAGGAAACCGCTGTGCCACACAGTCACGGGAAACAAGAAGATTGAGTTCCGTTCTTACCGCCAAGATGCATATGCAACACAATGCTAATGGCTTGTTAGGATGCAAATGTTACAAGGGGGACAGGGACCAACACGCATCACTAGGCGTACATGCAAGCGGTTGGCTTTTAACCAACACACCCCAGGGCACGTACTCCCAGCAAAATGCAAGGAGCCGTACATTTACAAGTACCGAAAGGCCACATATTCCCATGCCTCCAAAAAACGAATGGGTATAGTGCACACCCGGACCCTGACAGAGTGCAAGGACGAGAAGAGTGTTATATCATCAAGTCTTCAGAAAAGTAACGACCGGCGGATATCAGATCGCGATGATTCGCACACCATGTAACAAAAAAGAACCTGGAGCCAACCCCCATCGCTAGCCGAACACGCACACACGCTCCTGTCACCGGACTACGTGCTTGCTGTACTTATTAATGCAGTCTGGCGTTGAACTGGTGACGCCAAGACGCTGTTGTGACTTGTTGACAGCAGTTTGACACCTGGTTGATAGCTGTTGGACGCCGCGACTAAATTCTTGAGGGCATCGCCCTGGGATGCCCCTACACTTCCAGCAGCTAGCGTTTCCCCAGCATATGGCACTCTGGGAAAGGTTTTCACCCGTAAATTCATGTTTACCCGTAATCACGTGGTCTTCACATGTAATTACCGGCCAAGACAATTTGTAAACATGCTGATTTTTAAGTTGCCAAAGCATTCCTTTTATAAGGAAGAAGATAGGTGACATTTTGTTGGTTGCCCGTGCTGGAAGTCATCCACAGGTTACATTACCCGTACTCACAAGGTCTTGACCCGTAATCCCCCAAGCCGTAATGCACAGCACCCGTAAAATTTCACGGGCTTAATTGCGACGAAGACGTGTTATGCGCATGCACCATTTTAGGTGTCACGATCCACATGCAGAGGACGCAAGCCCAAATGAACGACCCCGTTCCACTTTTCGCAGTGCCTTCACCTGTCAACCTCTACCCCAGTCTTAGTACTGAAACACCCATCTAGCATCGGTTGGTCAATGCAACGGCCGAGCTGTATATAGTGCATGCATACATCTGCACCAGGTACGCTGTCAGCTTCCATGGGTCCGCTTCTTTGCACTGACCCCCGCGAGGGCCAGCATTTCCTTCCACCATTGGCACTGGCCCCTGTCGCGAGGAGACCGTCCAGGCCAGGAACGTCTCCCCGGAGGAGGGCAACCACCATCACAACCCTTGAAGAGGCAGCCATGTAACTGCTCTACAAGCAGTAGGGTACAGAATACGGGGGCCGTGACAAATGGGCCAGTCACTCGAGGGCAATGGGGACCCCGCCTGTACTCAGGGGGGCATGATCAGGCGCATCTCAACTTATATCCCCAGATAGGCCCCCCACCCCGTGCGTATGGCCCTCTACAAGACGGGGGGCCCGGTGACGTCAGCCGCCAGTAGCTGCTCCTTGTACCCAGGGCGGGAAAACACCTTGGGGTACACGGGGCCGAATGTTAGCGAAGCAGCCTCTACCCACAGAAGCCCCTCAATGAGCGTGCCGGTGGGCCACTCGCCATACGGCTCGGGTGCGATAAACACATCTCTGAATCGAGCAAGACCCCACCGCCCGTTGAAAGGGTTGAAAACGACCATGCTCTTCTCGACCTCGTCCGCAGACAAGGTGGGGAGCCGTCTGCGCAACTCCTGCTCCTTTCCCTCATAGGACAGGAGGAAATAGAGCTGGCTTTCCTTGATGCTGCCCCCGTAGGGCAGGGGTGCAAGCAAGGGGACCGCCAGAGGTGCGGGGAAGGGCGGCGCAGGCAAGGGAGGGCGGAGGGGGCGGACAGAGGAGGGTAGCTCGAGGGTGTGTTGGACGCTGGTGAGGAAGAGGTCCTAGCCGCTGGCGCTGGGGAGGAGTCCAGCTCGGAGGACACGGGCAAATATAGCGAAGCTAGCAGCAGCAACAGTGGCAGTGGCAGCAGCGGCAGTGGTGGAAGCGAGCAGTAACATGGCAGCAGTGATGAGCGCTTGGGGGTGCACACACCAGGTCGGCCCCAGGCAGGATGGGACAGACCAATCCCGACAGGTGCCGGTACATGTCATGCATCGGGGGTTTCATCCGTAGGAGTAAGCAGTAGGCACGAACTCTGCAAGTGGTGGTGAGACTTCTTGGCGAGCACTTGCTGTATGGGGGGTGACACGAACGCTGTTTTCGAGGACGATGGTTGGGATGAATGCATCAGGCTGTCGGGCTGGCTGGTTGGCGTTGCGAGTCCAAAGCGCCTTGGTCCACAAGCATACTGAGACTTCGGCTACTTTGACAAGGGGTTCGCGTCCATCTTGAGGCTTGCCGCAGTATTCACCAATCGTTAATTTACCACGCAGTTAATTTACCACGCAGTAAGTAATATCTGCCCGTGTAACCCGTGATAACAGGGTCTTCACCCGTAATTGTACGGGTAATTGGTTACATGCGCCCGTAATTGACACGCAGTGCCACGTAATATCCGGCCTGTAGCAGCCGGTACACAGTACGGCGCTATAAATACGCGCAGAGCGCGAGCACCAGCATCTCGAGAGGCTTTTTCAGCGGCCAGCTGCTACATATGGTGTCAAGACCTCGTGGAAATTCCCAATCCTAAAGTCGCCGAAACAATACTTACCGATCACGTTCGAGTGGTGTACGGATGAGACGTCTCAGTGAGCGAACATCGCACAAACTAAAAAAGTTTTTAATTCACCCACGGTGCCGCGTAATATCCCGTACCCGTACCCGTAATCACTGGGTATTCACCCGTAATTGTGCGCGTAATTGGTTACATGCGCCCGTAATTCACCTGCAGCACCGCGTAATATCCACCCGTAATTCCGGGGTAGTCGCCCGTAAATGTTCACCCGTATCCTTGTGCTCAAATTACGGGACCCGTAACGTGTTACGGGTCCCGTAATTTCTGTCAAATTACGGGTGGATTGACCCAAATTTACGGGTAAAATGACCCCCGTTTTCCCAGAGTGTGGCCTGTAGCACTGCATATGTCGTCGACTAGCAAAACTTGAGAGCTGCAGATATAACCGTCCGATAACCGTCAACAAATAACGGGCTGACCCACATAGCTGGCTTTGCGCAGGAGTATGTGTTTTCATATCAAAAAGCCGCGCTCGGCAGCCCATCCAGGGCCCATCCAGGGCCCCCAAAGGGCCACTGAAAACAACGACGTCAGTCCACCGCTCCTCTGACTCGCCTGACACGGCCGGGCACGACACAATGGGCTCAGGGGCTATGTTGTACGACACAACGACACAAGTAATTGAGATGGACTCTCACATCCACGCATATGCACTATGGTACTCTTCTCCACAGACTTGGGGCCGCTGTGAACACGTGCGCCCTGCCCTCGACCTCACAGCTAAAGTTCAGTACATGCCTTGATTCTGGTCGGGCGCTCCAACACCTCCTTCAAGAGCCGCTAAGACCGCACACTGCACCAGCCGGCTGGGGCCCTGGCGACTTGGGAGAGGCTGTGGGTGAACTGGCGGTCGATTACGCCCGGACTCACGTGTACGACAGTTGGGCGGTGTGAGAATAGATGGTTGTGTATGCAGGGCCTTGCTTGTTCCTCTCCTAAGTTGATTAATGCACAAATGTTTGATCCGCACAAATCGAACTTGCATAGACCTATTTTATTAGATTTTTGCTACGTATGTACATCCTCCCTTCATACCCCTTGAAGACGTTGCTAATCGTGTAAGCTAGGTTTCACCTTTTAAGTAAAATCGCTGTTGCCGTAAAAGTAAGTGACGTACAGGAAATCTTGGTGGCTCGGATTTAGGGGCCCAATCGGAGCCAGAAGCGAAGCCCTGATGTTGCAGGCCTTGTTTCCTACGATGCCACATCCTCTTTGTGACAGCTCTACTGCCAAGGCTGCGCGCAAATACGTGCAAGGATGTGGTGGTCGGGCGCTGGTATGAGGGAACCTGGCTCTGGAACGCTCCTAGCCAGGTTGTACGGATGTACGGCAGATGACGAGATCCGACAAGGTACGAGCTGGTACCATGGTTCCGCATTGGGACCATGGCAACCATCAGCAACCAAGCCACTTCCAAAGGAAGCGCCTGGCTTTTGACGGCCTCTGACGTGTCTACACGTTTCTCACTGTGTTTTGTGGTGGGGACGGGTGGGGGGTTGTGTGCTTGTTCGGTGCATGCTAAGCACCGGGCATTGGCATTTCTGCGCCAACCCAACCACTCACGAGGTTCCCGAGGCAAAGGGTGCATTTCAGCGCCTTTGGCAATAACAACCTCCTATTTCCCAACCTTTCCTTATGCATTCCAGAAATTTTAATACAGCTGCTACTGAAGAAATGGCGCATTTTGAGCTAAAACTTTAACCCTGCTACTGCTACTGCTGCTTCTACAGCAGCAGTAGCAACACCGTCAGCAGCAACAATAGCAGCTCTCCTCCCAACAGCATCTCTCGCAAAACAAGCTCCCGCTCCTCCCATCGTCCCATAACCCAACCATCACAACCCCCCAACGTCAGTTGTTAGTTGTTAGTTTCTTCCCTTATATGAATTATCCGGTATTAGCTATTAACTGCTAAGTCCTGAGCACATGAAGTTGTCAGTTGTTCGTTGTCAGTTGTCAACTAATTCAGCTGCTTCCCCTGAAAAGCGCCGTCCACATGTTCAGCAGGCGGCGGTGCAGCGAGGTGAGGGTGGCATTGTAGGCCAAACCACCCGCATCCGTGTGCCAGACGAAATACCTGTATGTATGTATGTACATGTGTGAAGGTGTGTAGGTGGTGTGTGTGTGTGTGCCAATGGGAAGAGGGAACAGGGTACGCGGGAGGGACGAATCACATGGTGACGATGGTGGTGGTGGTGGGCGTGATGATGAATCGGATGAATATGAATACGATGATGAGTATGATGATGATGGCGTTATCATACAAAAAGCAAAGGGGATCAACTGCCGTACATCCAAAGCACATTTAAAGGGGGGGGGAGAGGGAAGCGAGAGGGGGAGGAGGCGAGATAGGGGTAGGGGGCTCCAGGGGGGTTACCCGGTGAGGGGTGTTGGGGGAGGGGAGGTGGGGTGAGGAATGGAATGGTGGAGTCAGGACCACTTATAGAAGCATGGGAAATGGACTTGCAGACCGACATCCAGAAGAAACATATGCAACGAACACATACATGCATACATGCGCACAATCTTCTGCGCCACTTACGGCCCTCCACCAGCTCCTCCGCGCGCCGCGGCTCAGATCATTCAAAGTACGCGCATACACACAAAGCCAGGGCCCCCCCCCCACACACACAGACCTGTGATAGTCCGCAAGGCCCTTTTGGAGATCCTTCAGTTGCTCAGGAGTGACGGCGTCAAGCAAGTCAAACAGGCGGTGCAGGTTGTGACGGTTGATACGTACGGAAAACTTCTCGTACGGCAGCAGGTCCCAGAACGCCTGTATGATATACACACACACATATATACATATATACACGTATATATGTGTGTATATGCACATATATGTGTGGTTGGGGAGGGAAGCGGTGTTGGCGTTGGAAGGGCACAACGGCGACACAGTGAGGTTCTCGTGGTGCAGTGCAGCGGGTCATGAGCCGGGAAGGAACCTGAACTATACCGCCGCTGTCTTTGAAACATCTTCATTTGTGGCATCCGCCGTACATCCGCCGTACATCCACCATACATGCATGCACGCACAAATACACACACACACAGAAATGCAACACACACGCAGCCACACCTCACCACCTGGGATTACAAGCCCACCAACAAAAGGCAACAACAGCCGGCCACGACCATTCCTGAACGGGTCTCCGGTTGCCGCTTTCGATCCGGTAATCAGTCGTACGACAACCGGATGGCCCCTTTCCCCTCTCCCCCCAAGTGCCCGGGCAGGCCCGACCTGCCGCCGTACGATACACAGCCACCACCCAGTTCACCGAACAGCTAACTACCAAAACCACCAACCATAACCCCCTAACGTTTCCAAAGCCGCCAACCCACCGAGTATGTGTGATCCTGAAGTGTGATGGTGTCGAGTCCGTTGTAGCCAAAACAGGCAACCAGCGGCGGCAGCAGCAGCGGCAGCAGCACCCCGGCGGTCAGATGGTTGGGGACGAAGCCCCGGGGAGGGGGGCAGGGCCTCCAGTGAGACGTGAGTGTACGGCATGCAATCGGGATACCGATAGCCACATCTTGGGTAAAGCAGTTGGGTAGTTAGTTATGCGGGGTCCCGTGGCTAACGGTATGTAAGATCCTACAGCATCCCAGCGCAAAACTGCCATCCTAAGATACCACCGGCCAAACCCCAACCGCCAACGGCCAACCGCTACCCACCTGCACAATGACGGGCACACAGCCCGATTGCATGGCTTGTGTCAACCGGATGCCCCAACCATATCCCAGGGGACACAAGCAGAACCGCGATTGGAGCATATATTCTGCCGTACAGCAGCCTGGAGGTGAAGGGTGAGGGTGAGTGGGAGGTGGATAAGTGGGAGGTGTGTGAGTGGGAGGTGTGTTTTGCGGCAATCGGCAGAAGGGGGGAAAGAGCCGACAGAGAAACCCCCAATACCGTTTTGCTGCTTCGTCTCACGTGTCTGGGTGAAAAGGATGGGATGGTTAAAAACAATGCGCACAGACTCAGCAATGTAGTGACAACCGTACAAATTGCAGGCATATCGAAGACACGAGTTACCTGGGTTGATGGCCACGTCCCCCCGTGTCAAGTTGTGGTACATGCTCAGGAGGCCCTGCCGTACACCGCCGCTGTACGCCATGTCAGGTCTGGAAGACGGCAAGGTGGGGAGGTTTCGCGATTGGGGTGAGTGAGGGTGGGCGGGGAAGAAAGGAGGGCGGAGGGGGGGAGGGAAAGGCAGTCCCTTTCCCCCTCTCCTTACCCCCTGCTCCCCGCCCTCTCCCTAATACGCAGAACCCTAAGCAACGCAATCGCCCCTTACATACACCACAATAAGGGAGACACACACACGCACAGACAGACAGACATACAAACGCACAGACATCTCTCACTTGGAGTATCCATTGAAGTAAAATAGGTACGGCCGTTGTTTGTCACGGTGTACAGCGTTGCCTTCCCTGTCGTACGCATACGCCTCCTGCAGACGTCCTATCCATCCCCTCTCCAGGTAGTTGGGAACGGCCACATCCTGTTCGGGTCTGCTCCAGGGCGGGATAGGAATTCGGGTCATGGGCTTTTATCCTTTTATTATTATTATTAATTGTATTAATTGTGTTGTCGGATTTTCATGGCGGCCAGGAAGGCGGCCAGGAAGGCCTAGTCCAACCCCACGCTGCCGAGGTAAGCACCGAGTGCGCTGTAAGGCTGCGGGGCTACAGAGCTATAGTGCAAGGGGTAAACAACATAACATAACGGGTAAAAATAGTGCGCCAAAACCCGAAACACCCCATTCCCCTCCCCGAACCCCCTGGCATGGCACTGACCCGTAGTAACGAACATACATACATACAAACCTACAAACAAACGAACATACATACATGCGCACAACCCCAGAGAGGGAGAGACTGAGAGGAAAACAGACAAACATACAGACGGACATCAACTCATTCAATCTCACTGATCCAACACCCCCCCCACACACACACACACAGTGTACGACAGGTAGTTATCACACACCTGAAACACGGCTCCCGCTCCATTCGAAGGGCTTCCAATGTGTACGGCGGGAAGCCCCGAAACCGTACGAGCGCCTCTGGCAGTTCCTGCATCACCGTCCCCCCGCCGTCCTCCTCCATCGCCTCCCCCTCCGCTCCCCCCGAAGTCTGGTGGACAGCCAACCGCTTAAATTCCCGAAACGCCGCCTCCAGCGCCGGGTCGGAAGTCTGGGGGACAAACACGCAGCACCCGAAAACACCGTTCATTGGTACCGGACGGGTCTGGGTCGCGATGGGGGGGAGGACGTGAGAACCAACAACAGAAAATGAAGAGAAGTTCTTGCACATGTGGGCGCTACAGGAAACATGGACATGCGCCAAAAACCTTCTAGTTTTAACCTTCTACATTTAAATGCGGTAAACCCTAGCCGCAAAACCCTCGCCACCTACCCCATGTCCTCCTGCTCCTCCTCCTCCACCTCCTCGGCTAAACCTCCCCACCTGGCTGAAATGAACCACCTGCCCACTCGGAGGGGTGGGTGGGGGGAAGGAGGGGGGGGGGAGGGGAGGGAGGAGGGGGAGAGGGGGGTTGAAAACGAGTGACCCGGCGGAGACGAGTGATGCTCATACCCGAGATAGACGGGGGTGAGGACGGAAATATGGGAGATAGAATTACAAGGAATTCAATAAACGGATTCAAAAAAAGGGAAAAGACGGCACGAAAAGAAAGGAACAGGCGGGATGTGTGTACGAGAAGATAATCAAATGACGATTTAAGAGATGAGATCACTGCAAACCTTTAGGTCAAAGGAAAATGGTCAAATTGAAACAACATTCTACATCCCCTTTTCGCGCTGGGATGACTTTTGGTTATACATCCATACGGCATTTTTTTGGTACGGTGTCGTATGGCGGTAGCAAGGCGCTGTACGGTTCCGTACCTTTATGGGGTGTTGGAGCTCCGGATTTGATCTGGCCAGTTTGTACAGGTCGCAGCAGCCCCTATCGTTGGTGGCAAACGCCACGTGGTTGCGACCGCCGGTCAGATTCCAAAACGGATAGCTAGGGGGAGCATGAAGAAGAAGAGGGAGGGAGGAGAGGAGAGGGGGCGTCCGCGGAAGGGGGGAGGTTATGAGACCGTAGTCACGAACAATTAACAAATAGGCAAAAGATAGACAGACACGTGCTATATATACACACACACGCAAGGGACCATTACTGGAGCCGCTACTGCCACTATGTACTGCCGCGCGTTACAGCCGCATTATTGCCCGCCTGCTACTGCCGCTGTCTTCAGGTGCTGTGCCGCTACAGGCTCCTCCCTCACTGTATGTCTTTCTGTATGTATGTGGGGCTCACTTGCTTCGTACGTAGTTGAAGACGTTGGCGAAGTGCTTGGCGGGAAAGCCGATATTCCCTGAGTGTGTGGGGAGGGAGTTGGGGATTGGGGGGAGGAGGGGGAGATGTGTGTGTGTGTGAGTTGGGTTGCTGCGCACG